ACCGCCTCCCGGCCTGGGTGCGCGTGGTGCGCAGAAGGGCGCCGACTCACAGCTCCGCCCGACCCGGGCTCCGCAGCCCGCACCGGCTGGGAGGAGCAGGAACGCGCAAGCCCGCGATCTCCGGAGAGAAGGGCTGCGTGGGGCTGGGGAGAGGAGAGAAAATGTGGAGGGAGGCAGCTGAATGTTACGCTGGAGACACAGAAAGGTCGCAGGGCCTGTGGTCCCGTGGACGTGGAGTACTCGAGTAGGATGGCTAAGCTCCAGCGACGACATAAGATTTGTTGATTTAATGGATACGCTCAATGGGAACATCTTTAGAGATCAAAAAAAAGTGGGGACTACATGACAGTGATAGTTGCACATCATGAACGTGTAACCCATACACTTTTCTTTTTAAAAAGAGGCTCTCAGTGTTGTCCACGCTGGTCTCCAGCGGACACTCATGCCTCTACCTCAGAATAGCTGAGGTGACACGCTTGTGCCACCACATTCAGTTAATGGCACACTTTTAATTTGTTAATTTATGTTATGTGCACTATATATATATATTTTTGGGGGAGTACTGGGGATTGAACTCGGGTCCTTGCGCTTGCAAGGCAGGCCACCGAACCGCTGAACTAAATCCCCGGCAAGTGTGCATTATAAATTAATAGAAAGAAAGAAGAAAAAGTTTCTGCTGCTCTGAGATTAGACAGCAGCTTGGCAGGAGAAACCCCTGGCCACAGCTGAAGTTTGAGCCCTGTTTTTGAAGAATGCTCAGCAGCAGCCTTCTTGCCCTGCGGAGAAGCACGCAGTTGCATTTTCTGAAGAGCTGTCATCAGTGGCAACACAGAGAACAGGTCCTAAATCAGAGATGGTGAGATGGGAGGCCAGTCTCAGGACTCCAGGAGACTGCACAGCCCTATGCCGCGGGCAACTTTCCACACGGCTTTGCCACCTGAGTAAAAACACCGAGAGGTTTGTGGCCATAATGGGGTGGTAGCCAAATGCCACATTACGAGGTCTCCCTGGAATTTCCAGCCACTATTTTAATAGCATTTCATTAATCCTGAACCCTGACTTTGATATTTGATCGTCTCTGAGATCTGGATGTGTCATATAATTCATAGTGTGTCCCACTTTAACTTTTTGTAGGAGGTATGTGAAGCAACGGTATAGAAGTAATGCCTGCAATTCAGTGTGACTGGAACTAAAGTTGTAGTCGCATGTTTTGAATGATGAAGGTGATATCTGTCTCCCCAGCACGGTGTGCAGTAGGTCCTCAATAAGTGTTAACTAAATAAATGAATGCGTTAATAAAAACTTTTCTATTAGTCTTTACTTTACAATTTGCCAACAATTTGATCTGGAAAAGCCATGTAACTCGTTTTATCTTTCTTAGCTCACTAATTAGCTGTAATAAAATCAAAAGCATGTGGCTGGGGCAGAAGGGAGGCTAGAAAAAGGAAGTACCTAATAGATTTTTGCTGTGGTCTGACTCCTTCCTATAAGTTTCTGTTTTAAAATAAAATAGATTTTGGAAGGCAGAGACAGGAGAAATCCAAGTTGGAGATTTCTAAATTGCCGAGGCAATTTAGCAATTAGTGAGACATTGTCTCAAATAAAATGAAAATAAAAAATTGGGCGTGTAGCTCATTTAGCTTGAATTCTTATTACTACCATCCCAAATATTTTCCTAATGATATATAAGTGGAAACAAATGGAGATTTAGGGTAGCATGAAGGCAGATAAATGTAAAAAAGCTCACAGTTTAATTTTTAATATGTATTTATTTGATTTTGGTGGGGCTGGATGCTAGACACTCTACCACCGAGTTACATCCCCAGGTCGACATTTTGTAAAATGGTATTTTCTTTTCAAAAAAATTGGAACTAAGAAAGGCAAGAATGGGGTGAGTGGAAGATGTTATTATTTTCTTTTGACTTTTCCAATTGATGATCAGATTCTGGACTGTTTGCTGAGAACAGAAAGAAAACAGGCATTAGAAATCAGAAATCAAAGACTTGCAGCCCATTCCTCCCTCTCCTTTACTGCGGGCAACTTTACTGGGTGAAGGCACTTAGAGACTAGGTCCTGGTAATGGCTTCACCTGCATGTGCTCCTTTCTGTACATTCTCTACCTCTGGGTACAGGATCTTCCCATCAGTTCTAAACCTGTCCGATGCCACTGTACTGCCACTCCTCTCTGATCCAGTAGTGGACTGTTAGTCTGGCTGCTCCAGAGAGTGCAGGGAAAGCTCAGCCTTGTGGCCCCATGGATTGTAAGAGGAAAACAGGTAGATAATGCAAGTGTTTGCCCAACAAAATGCCAGGAGCAGGCAAGATGTCACCTCAAGGGCTTTTCAGTGTCCCCAGGAATCTATTGTACTTGGTGAAGAGACAGCGAGCTGGTGACCAAAGGGTGTCTCTGGGTCTGGTGTGATAGATACCTTGAGAAGCTTTGGTCCACTGTTGTTTTACACCCCCCACCCCGCTCCCCTAGGCCGTGCTCCTCTCCTCAAACCACTAATGGCTTCCTGTCATTCCTAGACCAGAATGGCTCCTGTGTTCTTTTTATCTACAAAAATTAAATCAAAAGCACTTGGTTGGGGCAGCAGAGAGTTACAAAAGAGAAAGTATCCGCATAGATTCATACTACGGCTTGAAACTTTTCTGTAAGTTTCTACAATTTTTTAAAAATTCCTTTTGGGAGTCCAGACAGGATTCCAAGTTAGATATCCGCCCGGCAATTTAGCAACCTTATCTACAAGGTCCTACAAGATCTGGTTCCTATCCTCTTCTCCAATCTCCTGCACACGCTCCAGTTCCCAACGATCCACTACGGTGCGGTGCTGCAGTCCTGGCACCTGAGACTCTCTGCCTCCAGTTGTGACTTTGTTTTTATCAGTAAGGTTTTCTAATCACTATTTAGTTTTCTTCCTGTTCACACTTATTGCTTGTGTTGGTTTTACATACTATAAAGAAAATACATTTTACCTTACTTAATGTCTATTTCTCAGAATGTAAGGCCTAGGAGGATAGGATTTCTGTTCTGTCTTGCTCATCTTTGTGTCCCCAGCAGCTAAACCAAGATTAAACATGTAGTAGCATTTTATTTTATTTTATTTATTTTTTTGGGGGGGTACCGGGGATTGAACTTGGGTCCTTGTGCTTGCAAGGCAGGCCACCGAACCACTGAGCTAAATCCCCGGCCCTTGTAGTAGCATTTTAAATAAAGAATTACTATAAAGATGTAACTCAGTGGATGTAACTCAATGGTAGAGCATATGCCAGTCCCCAGCATGAGCCAGGGGGATTACAGTAACCATAGATTTTCAATCCGTGGATTCAACTAGTTTTCCATGGAAAATATAGTTAGGTCTGTCATGTTTACATCCACATGTGTGTGTACTGTTTTCTTGTCATTATTCCCTAAACAATACATTATAACAACACAGCAATTACATTGTGTTATATATTACAAGCAATCTACAGATGGTTTAAAGTATACTGGAAAGTCTAGGGTTGTGGCCCATACCTGTAATTTCAGTACTTTGGGAGGCTGAGGCAGTAAGATTCCATGTTCAAGCTCAACCAGGGCAACACAGGAAGAAACTGTCTCAAATTTTTATACATATATATTCTGCCAGCCTGTCCATGTCTGTCTGTCTGTCTATCCATCTATCTATGCAGCTAGGCCCAGGATTCAGTCCTTAGGGGTGTTGGGGGAAGGTACTGGGGTATACCTCAGTGTCAGAGTGCTTGCTTGGCATTCTTGGCCTTGGGTTCCATCCCAACAGCACAAGATAATAATGATGCAAATATTATGCTATTTTATTATAAGGGACTTGAGCATCAGAGGAGTTTTGTGTCCATAGGCGTTCCCAAATCCAAGCCCCAAAGATACTGTAACTGCACTGAGAGACAATGGGTTAGAAAAACAAAAGAGGGAAGGGAAGAAGGGATAGAGGAAGAAAGGGAAAGATGAAGGAAGGGAGTAAGGAGAAAAGGTAATAAAGTTGCCTATCTGGGTTAGATATCTTAGGTTTGTTTACTAAGGGTCCCTGAATTTATGTATTTGGTCCAATTCAACAGTCTACTTCTTCGCCTTTTTGGCTCTTCCTTTGCCTCACACTCACTCTGTAGCCTCTACTTGGAGATCCTGTGCCCTTCTGTAGACTGCGGTGTCTACACCGCTCACTCCCCGCAAGCTTGAGCTTTGTATTCTGTATTCACACTGCCTCCCAACTGAGGGCTTAGAGATAGGATCTCTACCTGGTCCTCCAGGTTCCTCTGTGCCTTTGTTCTGAAGCAAAATAGGACAGATTTCAGGCTATTCAGAGTTAAAGTTTTACCTTAAATGTTCATGTTTTTTCATATATTGCTACATATATATTTTCCTTCCAGCAAGAATCAGAATAAAGTTGGCACTCAGGCAGATGTGTAGGAGTGGGAGAATAGATGGGATGGGGACAGGAAGGGTGTCGGTGTCTGTGGTTGCTGAAGGGAAAGGCAGGTGTGACAGACTATACTCTTCTTGCTCAGTGATCTCTCTCTCTCTCTCTC